CGTGCGCCGTGAAACAACTGAGGAATATGAAGATCACATGCTGGCAAGCCCAGTACACGTCATAATACAGGAAATTCTACGAACAAAACAAATTATTATTCATTATTTATTCCTATAAGAATTTAATAAAAAAAATACCTGTGTGAAACAGCACGGGATAAACCCAGCATAATACGCGTTCAATATGGAACTGAACAAGATCTGTTTCATTCGATTATTAAAATTAGTCTTCAGATTCTCAACTTCGCTTCTGATCTCCGCCGCATTCGATGTGCATGCATGCAAAGGTGGAGGAGCGGAAACATTCCAATTGATTAGCTCAAAGAAAGGAGTGATTGTAAATCCAAATAGTATCACATAAACTGAAATTCTTTAAAAACAATTTATATAATATGTTGATATAAAATAGATTAAAAAAGAAGTTATTATATTTGCTAGGTTATAGCTCCTTCCTGAATATATCAATAATTTGATTGAATTTATCAGAATATTTATAAAGCAAGGAATTAGAATGAATACAATATAGAAAAATGTAATAACTTACGGATAGCATAAATAAAAAATATTAACAACTGCATGGTTGGTAACAACAAAATAGGAACATATTGCTAGAACACAGAATATCAATCCAAACAAGAAAAGTCTTGTAATCAGATCGATTTAATTGAAATTAATAACATTCACAGATATTTAATATATATACTAGATTACCTGTAACAAAAGTATCCCAACTCATGTAATTTTTCTGGTAAAATGCTGTCCAATAATTTGCAACCCATAATATACAAAATCCGCCTCGATAATATGATTATAATGAATATATACAAGTTGACATCAATTAAATAAAAATTCTAAAATCCATGATCGAATTAATTAACTATTAATTAAAACCATTTATATAATAATTTACCATTGCATGATTTGTGTAGGAATTGGGAAGCCACCATACACTTCTATATAAATGCAGGAATTGCAGGCTGGCAGATATCACGCTGAATGCAAACATGGTAAATTCAAATTCGAGGTCACTGTCTATTGGTGTGTTCGGGAATTTTATATGTTTCGGTGCACTGGGTGTCTCCAGGCCTGGCAGTGTTGGTACAGCAGCCCCAAGTGGGGAGTATCTCGAACTGGCCAAATCACCAGGTATCAGAGGCACCGTTGGTGGTACACTCGACCTCATCGTCCTGGGCATTCTTCTGCCGCCTCCCGGCATATTTATATCAAAAGTAACAATTCAAAAAAAAAATAAACACAGTAACCTCTGTTTACATCGCTGTCACTTTGACAGGTTGATTGAACTATTATCGGAGGAAGGATTAGAACTACTTCTTCGTCCCTCTGGAGGTGGAAGAGGGAACTAAGAAATTTCAAATTTGAAGGATCGTTACAGGAAATTATTGTTTGACAAATGGTGAGTTTAAACTTAATATATTACTATTTATTATGCGATTGTTACATGTACAAGTTATGTAGACGAACTAGCGAGTTTACAAACTCCAAGTTCTATAATACTTTTCAAATATTTACAAAATATTAACGTCAATTGGAATCACTACTAGATTCTCCATAATCACCAACTAAGGAGTTTGTCAGTTTCTGCTTTTTACTAACATGACTAGATTCGCTCTTTTTAACAACCAAATTTGTTGCCAGTGTTGTCTTCAAAGCTTTAACTGCTTTTCTCTCCTTGTCAGGGGTGAAAGAGTCCATGGGTAAGGCTGAAGCAGTTATTATCTGTCTCCTCAGTAAATCAGTCTTCTTCTCCACATCCATACTAGGCTTAATTCGCAGTAGAGAAGCCACCCTTCTATCTTCCTCACTTTCAGGAAGCAGGGCAATATTCAAACTTGATTTCTTTAGCAATGCATTATCCACAGCTGCCTTCATCTTCACCTCCTTGCTCTGACTCCTAAAAGCTGCTCTCAACTTCTGATTAGCAGTGTAATTATCTGCCCAAGTATCTTCATTTCTATTAAACAAATTAACAAGTCTAGGTTTAGATGACTCAGCTATACTAGCATCTGCATTCCCATGCTCCAATTTATACATGGAATCATCAAATAACTTCTTTTGAGTCTCTTTAGTCTCTGGGACAATCTGCTCATTTTGTAGAGGATCCCATCGGTTTTCCTGCCTCCTCGCACCTGATATTATCTGATAGTCTAGATTCCCAGGATCTGTTTTTATTATGAAATGGTTATCGCACAGATGGCATTTCATGTTGAATTCATATACTGGTGTGGTATAGTACATCCCAGTTTTCTTCTTTTCAGCATTGTATCTCACACCCATACCTATGTGGTTGTTGCATCCATCGCACCAAATGTTGTAGGGCATCTCAAAGCGGATGATGAGGATGCCCAGATGGGCCTTCCGGCCCCTCTCTCTGAGTGCATGGACTCCTTTGAACTTATTCAGACCACCCACCTTTGGATCATAATCCGGTGGGTAATATTTATTTTGGCCCTTCCTTTCACCCATCTCTGCTGTTTTCTACTAGTTTGAAAAATTTATTGGTTACGTTTTTCAGCCACTATATACTTTACACCTTACACTTTCGAGGTTAACTACTCTTGTTTATGTTTCGTTTTTGGCAGGTCAAATATGTCAGAGCATGCGCTCCAAAATTTCAAAAATACCCAAAAATATTGGACCTAATCTTAGCGAAATCTGTGTCAAAATTAGCATTCCTCTTGATATATTTCTTATATATAATAATAATAATAGAAAATGCGGATGATAAGTAATGACTAATCATTTATATTTAAGACTACTTAATTAGTTCACGTCCAATTATATCGCGTTATCTTTTATTTGTAGAGTAAAGAAAACAAGTTTTTTTTTTGCCTTTTTTTTAACAGTTTATTATGAGTAGAGTTTTTCGAAAGAAAGAAAATTGCTTAAACCACCTTATGGACAATTGATTAATAACTATTGAGGAAATTGTTCTACAGGTCTGAGAATTCGTCGCAACGACCTCATTTCTCCTTCCTCTTGATCACAACAGGTCCGACGTTATCCCCGGTTTCTTTGTTGTGCGCTCCATGAGCACCATCGCAATACGGCCACTGTAATTACAAAAAATACATCGTTATCTCTGTTTCGTTATGCAACCATTGCAACTGTTCTCACGTTTTTGCTTTTCCAGCAGCGGCAGAAGACGGCTTTATCGGCGATGTCCTCCACGTCGATGGTGTCAACCACCTTCGGATTGGTCTTCAGAATGTTCTGGTTGATGGACTTGCAAGGTACTGGTCTGCCATGGGGACAGAACGCTCTGTAAGTCAGGTACGTGAATCCAGCAAGAACCGCGGTCGGCGGAACCAAGGCTGCCCAGTCTCTAACTGCAAGATATACGAAGGAGCATTACAAAACTGGGTTTCTCCATGCATAACAAGAACAACAGCAAAGATGTATGCTTTCTAAATTGGTATCCCCTTACCTCCCAGTTTAAACCATCCACCGATCGAGTCTGGAATTGGAAGACCCGATAGGTAATTCGGGATTGTCGATTTGACCAACGACGATAAGGCGTGCATTTTTCTGGATTAGTTGAACAAGAAAAAATGCAGTTTAATTTTAGACGATCGTCCAAGGTTGACAAACAAAATACGGGAACTGCTGCGAACGGACACGGCACGCACTGAATCCGCTCACTTCTCCGTACGATTTTGTGAGAGCCTCGGATTTTCCGTGGCAGTGTGTGAAAAAAACACTGTTACTCAATTTATTCAATCCAGTGGCGTGCACCTTCCTTGTTCATCTATTAAGATGATCAAGTTGCCTACATTGGATAACAGCAATACTATTTGATTACCAACAACAATATTAATACAGTTAAACTTGCATTATCATCCACGTTTATAGAACTAGAAGAAATTATTGCATCTAGAATTAGTATTTTTAAGTTACAAACCAATTAGTTTTTAATATTGATTTATATCACATAAAAATGGTAGTTAATTCAAATTATATCAAGTAATAGTGTTAAATTGCACTTGATATAATTAAATAACTATAATTACTTCTGGTTGAAAACTATAAAAAAATGATTTCGTTGATATTGGAAATTTGAAAGAAAGATATATTGGTTTGTTGATTTCAATTGATTTATAAAAGAAATTTATATTTAGTGTTTATAAATTTGTAATACTTTTTAAGTATTAGTAAGTATTCATTTTGAGTATATATTGTAATTGTTTATTATTTTTTTAGGAGAAAGGACTTCAATGATCATGTGCGATTTTATAATTATTGGAATCTTGTAATCGTTATTTGAAATATTAACTGTGGAATCATGAGATTTGAAAATGAAAATGAGTAGGTTTGTAAAACAAAAGTGATGACAGTTGTATTTGAATTTTAGTAATTTGTTCGAAGAGCAGGAAGGTTTAAATATTAGGTGAATGAGGAAGAAGTGATGGTAGTAGAGTGGTATGAAATGATGGAAATGGTTGGAAAGGAGAGGAGCTCCTATTGGTGCGAGTCGCCGATGGTTTCGAAGCATCGTCTGTAAACTGGTGGGACCTAGCGGTGAGCGTGCGCTACTATTCAGTTTCGAGGGTTATGTTGTGAAAGGTAGATTGTGTCGACGAGAGAGTGTTGTTAAGTTTTAAAATCGATGGTAGTGGTTAACGAATATGGCTGAAGAGTTATTAGTGGAGTTAAAGCGCAGTGAGAATTCGGGATTCGGTTTCAGTTTGTTGGGACAGCAGGGATTACCGCACATAATCTATGCCATATCGGAAGATTCCCCGGCTGCCGAAAGTGGAAAGGTAAGTTCTATTTGTTGTTTTGCCTCTCTGCATCATCTCCACACCACCACTTCTCGCTCCTTCTCCTCCACCTCGTCTTCCTTCTTTTTAGAAGCTTGTTCTTCTTGACTTTTTCCGGTGTCTCGCGAGAGATTCCAGCGTCTGACTGGCGGCCAATCAACTTTTACCATCCTCACATGTTAGCCCCACGATTTCGTAGTCCCATCGTCAATCCGTAATTATCATTTCGTTTTTTTTTGTTGCCGGTCAAGTTTCATTTAATCCTTTTCCACCTCTTGCATTCAGCATATGTATGATATACATGCTAAGAGCATGCCTCACCCTCGTCCGATCTTTTCATCCCGAAAGCCGGCCGCAATGCACCATAATCAATCCCGATGCCTATGTGTATTCCTATTTGCGAAAATCTCCGGCTCACGAGGGCGGGTACCACTCGAAACGAAACACCCACCCTTCTTGTCATGTTGACATCTAAACAACAAAACCGCAAAAGCCACCGCCGTTTCGCCAACTAACCAGAGCCCGCACCCGAATTTCATCCATCATACCAGCTTTACAATACACCCGACACGTGGATAAAACAACCATTATTCCTTGAAATCTGCAGAAATCTTAATGATTAACAGCAACAACAAATATCTCAAGTATCACGCTTTCAATGAATCCGACACTGAATCGATATACGATCCGACCAGTCACCGGATCAATTGTATAACATTTTTTTTATTATTTGTTTACAATTCAATCGTAGCAACAAAATCATTTCAAATAGGATTTAATCTAATATTTACTACTTGAACTTAGTTTTTCTTATTAGATGAAATGAAAATTTCTCAAATAAATAACTTTACAATAATAATTTACACTTCTTAATATTCCTTATTGTATTCATGACTTCTTATATAATCGTTTAAATAAATACCATTTAGTTTAAATTCTTATTAGAATACAATTGGAGATTTTATATTTTCATATAGTTAGTAATTAAAATTTCACTTTCTTAAATTCTCACAAATTTCGGCACTTTTCGTTTTGCCTTTGCTGCATTTCCAAGTGCTATATTGTTGTAGTGTAAATGAAGTAATACAGGCTATTACAGAATTATTACATAACGAAGTCGGGCTACGTGCGGTGTTTGTGGATTAGTTTACTGCTATTTGAAGGCACCGAAGGCATTGTCTTTTGTTTCTGGTTCATAAATATGACTTGGCTCATTGTAAATTAAAATAACGCAGGCGGTCAAATGGGTGTTACGTAACAATGTTACGCCGTTCGTTTGGTTGTTTATTATCAGATTTACTCGTTTATTATCAGAGAAATATGTATTATTCATATAATGTGAATACTTGCGTTCGTTGTTTTGTATATTAAAGTTAACCTATAGTTGGGAAAAAGTTTTCTTAATGAAATTATATCTACGATCCGTACATGAATCTTTCTTTATTTTTTTTAAGCGTCAGTAAAATTATACTAAAATAAACGGATAAGAAGCTAAGCTTGTTTATTTGTAATACAATTAAAGTTTTCAAACAAAACCAGTGATTAGTTATAGGTAAGTTTCATTAGAATATTATTTGATTTAAAAAAAATGTAATAGTTTAAGAGAATAAGGATGAAAGAATGTAATAAAGTGAAACTGAAAAGTGTCTAATCAACAGATTTCGGTGAAACGTGTTTGTTATTCAACGATATAATTCCACGTTTATAATGAAACTGTTTGTTTTTCTTCTTTTTTTTTTGTAGCCTTCCCCATACTTCCTGCCTGCCTCTTCTGCTAGGTTGTTTAACGAAGACCACGGATAAAGTGTAACATGTCGCTAGTCGCAGGAGTTTATTTATATCCCGTATAAAGACGGATTTTCATTATGTGCGCGTGTTGTGTATGTATGCATGCACCTTCGACAAATTCCGCTGACAGCGTCCTCCGTGGCCGTAGATTGGGATTTACGTCGAAGGAGTGAAGAAACCGTTCTCTCGGTTATTCCTTTGCGGGATTTATTTCGTTTGGGGCCGCCTAACTAATTGAATGAAACTCGTATGCATGTATCATAATTTAAAGCATTGTTTCACGCCAATGGATTTGGAGCGAACGCAGTGCGGACGTGTATCATTAAAATTTCAAAAAAAAAAAGAAATATGTAAAAGGAAGAAAATAACCTCGTGCATTCACGTTTTCCGATTCACGGAACGAATGAAATAGTATGCAAATTCATGATCTATATATCATAGATTGAAGAGAAGAATCTACGAACTATAGATGAAAATCCATAGTGTTTTAATAGTAATAATTGAATGTAAAAGTATTATTTTAAGTTAAAACGAAACGATTAAATTCCTTGCAACTAATTGGCCTTTCAGTTTATATGTTTTGCACAGGTGATTTACTTTAATTTCGGTTAATCGTGCATGCATCTAAATAAATAAGTAATTGAAGCAGACGTGAAAGCAAGTTAATTTTTATAGATAATTTATGGTCGGCATAAGAAAGTGTTTTCATTAATTTATTTACGTTTTCCTCTTCCTCCCAGCAGCGTTAAATTATAATGAATGGAACGGAACGGTCTTTCCCTACTTTGGCTTCTGTCTCTCTATTTTTTTTTTCTTCTAAAATATTTAACGAATTTCTAACTCCCCGATTGGATGGAGAAAGTCGAATTCTTTCCTGCTCTTTGCCCGATTCGTAATTATTAATGCAGAAAACAACGAACGACGAGGCAGATTATCGATGAAATTGCGCCACGTGCAATTAATTTCTTACATAAGCGTTTGCTGTAAATCGGCCAGCTCTTCGATGTATTATTCAACTTTACGAACGGCCAGTGAAATCGACTTACCGTATATTAATGTTAATTGCAATCATTATTGTACTGTCAGGAAGAGTTTACTCAATTACCTTTTATGTTCATGTAATATAAATCAATATATTATCCATTTAATACGTTTGCAACAAAATAGCAATGATGCATTTATTGCGTTCATAAATAATAAAATAACGATATAAATCAATGATTAATATAAACACAAGTTATGCTTATGTAATGCAGGTCTTTATTATTATATAATTCATAAAGAATCTTAACTATATTTGATCTTGCACAGAAAATATTCAAGATTCTTTGGTTATGATCAAAATGTACTGATGATAGGTATAGTACTAGTACTTTATGTTACTAGTTTAGGGTACTTATTAGAAATGATTAATGGATGAACCAAGCATTCAATAAAAACATTCATACTTGATTGATGAACGGTAATAAATTACGAAACAATAGATACTTAAAGCTTGTATCCTTACTGCCTCTATGACATGTAATTAATAAATTACTAAATGAACGGAGTAAAGTAGTCACAGTTTGCAAAGCAAAGACAATATTTTCGTATTTAGAAATTCCGGGGAATAAAAAAAAATTATTAACAATACATAAATTGTTATGTAACATTAGTTGATTAACATGCGATATTCAAATTGCACTTGATTTACAATAATTCGATCTCGAAAACGCAATCACACGGATTTGCAAATAATCGTAATTACAAATAGCATCGACTACGTTCGGAATTAATTAAATCCATGCGGCCACGAATTCACACCGGCTGTTAAGTAATCGATATTAATATACCGAAAAAAAAAATTATGAAGAGAAGTGCGGTATTTCCCTGTTAATAATTTTTAAATATCTATTTTGCGAAACGAAATGTTATATAACGAAGTGCATAAGTAAACATGCGCGCACGATGGAGAGAAAAAAATGTGTAAATATCGCGCGGATAGTTCGTGTTTGTCCATCCAACATATTGGAGGCTTTTACTTATTTTTATGAATTTGGAATTTTTGTTGCCAAATTAATTGTGTCTAAATTGATATGTATTTAATACTGAAACTAAAAAAGAACTAAATGTTATAATATCAATGAATTTGAGAAAAAATTATTTGT